TATTTTTCGTTTTTGTGATTGAAAAAACTAGAAAGCCCTGTTTCATTAAAATTGTCCCCACATTACGCAAATTTATCTGCGCTTTTCTTTTTCTCAAAAAAGTCGAAAAATGATGTCAAAAACCCCTCCTTGGTAATCAAGTTTTCTGGAAACCTTAATATAAGCTAAAATAATTTTTTAATATGATTTACGAAAGAACTCACTTTGTTTTTGTTGAGTAAGAATCCTAAGTTTCATGGTAAATGAGTAAACATCTGCATAGAGATGAATCGATCAAAAATAGTCTATTCGTACTCTGTCACGTTGTTAACAGCGAGTAAGCTCAGTTTTTTTTAAAAATCTATACATGCTCGAAAAAAAAAGTTTGCATAGAAGTTCTGTAGCCTCAATAGTCGTCTACAGCATGTACTATTTAGTTTTCAAAGCTATCCTCTCACTTTACAATTTTTTACATTCAAATACGTACAGTGAAAGTTGATGTCCTTTTCAGATCACGTCGCTAACGCTAGGTTTTTTTTAGTAATAACTCCTCTCAACAATGATCTCTAGGGCTTATTGTTTCAGGGTATATAGGGTAACCTAACATACATATATTAGCTATAGCAAGCGATCAATGGCAAGGTAAATAATCTAAATGAATTCTAGGTAAAAGACCTATTTCAGTCATCTAAGAATAGGGTGGGATGTGTCAATATGCGTATTGATGTCAGTCCACTCTTTACACCCACACCCACCGTATCTTTTACCATCCGTACCCTACCCTATTGATTTGCTACCTCAATCCTACCTTATAGGACTCTGTTTCAGAGTTAAATGGCCGTAGATATTTTTTTGGAATAACCTGTACACAGAAAGAGAGAAGTAATTTGAATTTTTGCATATTATCTAGAGTCAACAGTGCTCTATCTTTTTGTAAAGACGATGCAAAATTTCTGTCACTTTTCTTCATGGGTATGTTATGAGTTTTGAAGATGAGCTTAATTCGCTTTGGAAACAAAATAGTTTATCAACTATAATATAATGAGCAGATAGCCTGACCTCCCTTGTATCCATCCGCAAAAGGCCAAAATCAGTCACCATTTGGGTTCAAAAGATAGAAAGATTTTTGTGAAAGCTACCCACTAAGTTTTTTCAAAATCTTGATATTTAACACATTGCTTAGTAAAAGTTTTTAGTGGCCTTTGTCTTCAACACATGATTTATTAACCTCCGGAATGTTTTTCCTATTGCAAAATGTTATCATAAGTCATATGTTGAACTTATTTTGTTGAGAATGAATTATCATCTTCAGAAAGTTCTCTTCATCCTTTATTTTATTACTGTTCTCATTGGAATAATTTCCTAAATCCAGATCGCTCAATTGAAAAGAATTTTAAGATGTTTACGTAAATTTACCGTAAAAGTAGATATTCATCCACATCAATTGTACTACAGTTAATATAATCATTATTCTCATGGTCACTTAGATATTCTTCTATCTGCTCAACATAAATATCGACCCTCTTAAATATTGTCTCATCCTGTACCAGTGTGCTCACTTCAATCGCAGTAAACTTGATGTTTCTATCACGTATTTATGTTTTCATATTGGTCCGGTTAACTCTATGCAATGTAAGGCACGGTGTCTCTCAAAAGAGATCTACATAGCACGATGATTGGAAAACTACATCACATATGCTCGCACACATACTCACATCACTCGTGAATCCCACATGTGCTCATTTAAATCCAATGAGTGCTCTTCAAACACAATTTCTTAGGAAAAAACATTCTGAACGTTAATAAATCATGTGATGAAGACAGAGGCCACTAAAAACTTTTACTAGGCAATATATATGTTAGATATCAAGATTTTGAAAAAACTTAGTGGGTAGCTTTCAGAAAAATCGTTATATCTTTTGAACGTAAATGGTGGCCGATTTTGACCTTTTGTGAATGGATAGAGGGGAGGTCAGGCTATCTGTTCATTATATTATAGTTGATAAACTATTCTGTTTCCAAAGCGAATTAAGCTCATCTTCAAAACTCATAACATACCCATGAAGAAAAGTGACAGAAATTTTTCATCGTCTTTATAAAAAGACAGCAGTGTCGACTCTAGGTAATTCGCAAAAATTCAAATTACTTCTCTCTTTCTGTGTTCAGATTATTCGAAAAATACCTACGGTCATTCAACTCTGAAATAGATATTAGTAGGAGACGGTATAGGTGTTGGTCTTATTTTCATCTGCAAATATATACACACACATTCAGAATTGAGATTTTAAGTTTGACTAGACACGATTGGAATTCTAACATTGATTACATACTTATCAGTCAGGACTGAAATATTTAGTTTTATCTAGTCAATATTACAGTTCGCCGACGACATGTACGTGAAAATTATCGATCATGGGCTTCAAGGTATTATTTCGGAACTTTCAGAAAACAAGTAACGTCTATCGAGACTTGATTCGCTTGGCCCTAAGCTGAGTGTGTAAAAATGTACATATAGATACATTTAAATATAAAAGTAACTTAAGTAACGTACTAGATAAACACAAGAGATTGTTTGACATATGACTATGATTCGTTTCATAAAATCGAATTTGAATATGTTACACTTGAAGGATGGTGTTTAGTTTATAAACGCAATGTGATTGTTTTTTTTTCTATAGAAATTCTACAGATTTGTTGATAGCTGTAATGCTATAACTTTGTTTACTTTGATTCTTTAATGCTATTCTTAAAACTTTATTTTTAATCATTTGTGTTTCGAACTGCTGAATTTCTATGAATGATATGCACATATAAAGAGTAATGCATTGGTTTTTAAAAATTTTATACTTTATCTTTGAATATTTTAGAAAACTTCAAATTGAAAACCTTTCGGAGTTCTCATGATTCATATTGTCCTCTGTCATCTTCACGTTTGAAATAAAATGCATTATATATATATATTTATAAAATAACATAGAAATCAATACAATTATTTACAATGAGTAATAGAAGTGAGTCAAAAGTAAGAAAACAGTTTTTTTTTTAGTTGCATTTCTGTATATGAATGAGAAAATCTCTTATTGATATCACATATACTATTA